TGAAATAGTTAGAAAGTTCACCATCGTAAGCCACCAATTGCTCCATTCTCTGAATATGCCAATGATATTGGATGATTGCTCTGGCAGCAGTGAGAAAATGCTGTAGGAGGCCTGATATGGAGGTTTTCATTGGAGCAGGATTCAGGAATTGAGGTGGGGGTTGTAACTGTCCATTGGTTAGAATTTGAGACACTCGGGGTTGGGCAATGCAGTTCCAGTTTAGGAAGTGGGATTAGTGGACTGCTAGGGAAAATAATGTGTTATCAATTAAAGCTGTCATAGCGGTAGTGCGGTTGTTGAGGGTCTGCCCTTGTTCCCTGGTCCTAGGCACGGAAGAAAGGATGGGCCTGGGGTGTTGCATCCCTCTCAAGGGTCACCCATATTGTTTGTCAGGTGTTATGGAGCCAGTCAAGCAGTTGGGCAAGTATGGTGGCTTTGTAGTAGAATATTAAGCCAGGTAGTGCAGCCCCTCTTTTCCTTTTGCTATAGCGTAAAGGTATGCAGGGCAAGATGTAGTCTCCCTGTGCCCTAGATAAGTTTACAAAACTGTTTTTGTATAGCTTTAAGGAATGAGATCGGAAGGGAGATGGGGATGGTTTGAAATCGGTAGAGGAAAAGCTTCCCTACACAATGATGTAAAAGGGAATGATCACACTATAATGTTATATTTTTATATATATATATGTGTGTGTGTGTGTATATGTATGTATGTATGTATGTATGTATATATATATATATATTGAAGCCTAAAGGAAAAAGAAACAAGTTCCTTTTAAATGATGCAACTGCTTGTAGCATTAACCCTTTCCCTGAGGGGAGATTAGGATTGCAGTCCGGCTTTTATTTTCTGTCAGGAGAGGGCTTGCTCAGATTAATGGCATTGCGGTTGAGGAAACAAGACCACAACTGTTTATTTGAATTGCCAAGCGAATCTGTGACGCTGATTAATATGAGTGACATTTGTCAGATTGCCTCGGTCACCAGGGGTTAACCATGCATTTCATCCCAAAAAAAAAAATCCCTGTTCTATGTAAAGATCACATGATAAAAGGACAAACCTTGGACGGAGCTTGACAAAAGGGGGTACGACTGAAAGATCGCTCCCTCCATGTTTTCACTTGTTCTTGGCTCTCCCTGCTATAAATCCGCTTACTGGATGTAAAGCAGCAAAAGCTAGGCGTGGATTAAAGGGGAATCAGTAAAAGCACTTGGAGGCTGGGGGGTGAAGCAGGTTTATAAAATGGAAGGTAAATATATATTTATTTATTGAAGGGAAGGCAGGAGAAAAGTCACAGGAGGTGTGGAAGTGCAGAAAGATGAGGGGCACCTAAAGGAATAGTCCTTCTACAATCACCTACCTTCTGTTCTTTTGTTTGTTTTGTTTTTAATATAAAATGGTAAATACAGTTACAGAAATTAAAAGATTGGGGAACACTGCTGGTAGCGGGAAAGTTGACCTTGAGCTGGAAAAATGTGAGGGGGGTAAAGGCCTGAAGTTGAACCCCTTTGTGAGTCATAGCAAGCCAGTAGATACATCAACCCAAAAGACTATGCCTGTAGCTGAAATATCACATTTTGTTTGACTGGCCTTAGGTTAGATAGGTTAGACAGAGGAGTGGGCACTCCAGAAGATGCAGGGGGTCTGGGTAAAGAGAGAGGGGTGGGCACTCCAGGTTATAGTGGATCTGGGTAAAGAGAGAGGGGTGGGCACTCTAGGTTATAGTGGATCTGTGTAAAGGGAGATGAGTGGTCACTCCAGGTTATAGTGGATCTGTGTAAAGGGAGATGAGTGGGCACTCTAGGTTATAGTGGTTCTGGGTAAAGGGAGATGAGTGGTCACTCCAGGTTATAGTGGAACTGGGTAAAGGGAGATGAGTGGTCACTCCAGGTTATAGTGGAACTGGGTAAAGGGAGATGAGTGGTCACTCCAGGTTATAGTGGAACTGGGTAAAGGGAGATGAGTGGTCACTCCAGGTTATAGTGGAACTGGGTAAAGGGAGATGAGTGGTCACTCCAGGTTATAGTGGAACTGGGTAAAGGGAGATGAGTGGTCACTCCAGGTTATAGTGGAACTGGGTAAAGGGAGATGAGTGGTCACTCCAGGTTATAGTGGAACTGGGTAAAGGGAGATGAGTGGTCACTCCAGGTTATAGTGGAACTGGGTAAAGGGAGATGAGTGGTCACTCCAGGTTATAGTGGATCTGGGTAAAGGGAGATGAGTGGTCACTCCAGGTTATAGTGGAACTGGGTAAAGGGAGATGAGTGGTCACTCCAGGTTATAGTGGAACTGGGTAAAGGGAGATGAGTGGTCACTCCAGGTTATAGTGGAACTGGGTAAAGGGAGATGAGTGGGCACTCCAGGTTATAGTGGTTCTGGGTAAAGAGAGAGGGGTGGGCACTCCAGGTTATAGTGGATCTGTGTAAAGGGAGATGAGTGGTCACTCCAGGTTATAGTGGATCTGTGTAAAGGGAGATGAGTGGTCACTCCAGGTTATAGTGGAACTGGGTAAAGGGACATGAGTGGTCACTCCAGGTTATAGTGGATCTGTGTAAAGGGAGATGAGTGGTCACTCCAGGTTATAGTGGAACTGGGTAAAGGGAGATGAGTGGTCACTCCAGGTTATAGTGGAACTGGGTAAAGGGAGATGAGTGGGCACTCCAGGTTATAGTGGATCTGGGTAAAGGGAGCGGGGTGGGCACTCTAGGTTATAGTGGATCTGTGTAAAGGGAGATGAGTGGTCACTCCAGGTTATAGTGGATCTGTGTAAAGGGAGATGAGTGGTCACTCCAGGTTATAGTGGATCTGTGTAAAGGGAGATGAGTGGTCACTCCAGGTTATAGTGGATCTGTGTAAAGGGAGATGAGTGGTCACTCCAGGTTATAGTGGATCTGTGTAAAGGGAGATGAGTGGTCACTCCAGGTTATAGTGGATCTGTGTAAAGGGAGATGAGTGGTCACTCCAGGTTATAGTGGAACTGGGTAAAGGGAGATGAGTGGGCACTCTAGGTTATAGTGGTTCTGGGTAAAGAGAGAGGAGTGGGCACTCCAGGTTATAGTGGATCTGGGTAAAGGGAGGTGAGTGGTCACTCCAGGTTATAGTGGAACTGGGTAAAGGGAGATGAGTGGGCACTCTAGGTTATAGTGGATCTGGGTAAAGGGAGGTGAGTGGTCACTCCAGGTTATAGTAGATCTGGGTGAGGAGTGGAGTGGGAATTCCAGGAGACACGGAGGTTGGGTGAAGTGGAGGAGCAGGAGAAGGAAGCACTGGATGAAGTGTATGGGCACTCCAATACAGGGAATCTGGATAATGGGTAGAGAGTGGGCACTCCAGGAGACAATGTGGATGTGGGTGAAGAGAGAGAAGTGTAAACTCCCTGGAGACAGATGAGAGCTTTATTAACTGTAGGGAAGAGAGGGAACTTCAGGAGGCTGGGAATCTTGGTTAAAAGAGAGTAGTGAGCACTCTAGGAGATGCAGGGGCTGAGTAAAGTGGTGGAATAGGGTAAGAGAACACTAGATGGAGGGGATATGTTAAGTAAAGGGAGAATAGTGGGCACTGTAGGATAAAGGGGATCTGGGTAACATGTGGAGAGGAATGAGAACTCCAGGAGACTGAGAGAACTAGGATGAAGAGTGGAGTGGGAATTCCAGGAGTCAGTAGGGATCTGGGTTAAGAGGGAGGAGTGGGCAATCCCAGTAGACAGAGGGGATGTGGGTGAAGAGAGGGGAGTGTGCATTCCAGGAGACACCGGAGATCTAGGTGAACAGAGAGGAATGGGAACTCCAGGACATAGGGGATGCAGGTGAAGAGAGAAGTGGGCACTCCGGGATGTAGGGGATCTGGATGGAGAGAGCTGAGTTGGCACTTCAGGAGACACAGGAGATCTGGGTGAAGAGAGAGGAGTGGGCACTCCAGGATACAGGGGATGCTGGTAAGGAGAGATGTGGGCACTCTAGGATGTAAGGAATCTGGATGGAAAGAGCTTAGTTGGTACTCCAGGAGACAGGGTGGATCTGAGTTAAGCAGAGGAGTGGTTACTCCATGATGTAGGGAATCTGGGTGAAGCAGAGGAGTGGGCACTCCAGGATATAGGGCATCTGGGTGAAGCAGAGGAGTTGGTACTCCAGGATATAGGGGATCTGGGTGAAGAGAGATGAGTGGGCACTCCAGGATGTAGGGAATCTGGGTGAAGCAGAGGAGTGGGTACTCCATGATATAGGGGATCTGGGTGAAGAGAGAGGAGTGGGCACTCCAGTAGACACAGGGGCTGAGTAAAGTGGTGGAACAGGAGAAGAGAGCACTGGATGAAGGAGGGGCTGGGTGAAGCAGAGGAGTGGGCACTCCAGGATATATGAATCTGGGTGAAGAGAGAGGAGTGGGCACTCCAGGATATAGGGCATCTGGGTGAAGAGAGATGAGTGGGCACTCCGGGATATAGGGCATCTGGGTGACGCAGAGGAGTGGGTACTCTAGGATATAGGAGATCTGGGTGAAGAGAGATGAGTGGGCACTCCAGGATATAGGGCATCTGGGTGACGCAGAGGAGTGGGTACTCTAGGATATAGGAGATCTGGGTGAAGCGAGATGAGTGGGCACTCCTCCAGGATATAGGGCATCTGGGTGACGCAGAGGAGTGGGTACTCTAGGATATAGGAGATCTGGGTGAAGCGAGATGAGTGGGCACTCCAGGATATAGGGCATCTGGGTGAGGCAGAGGAGTGGGTACTCTAGGATATAGGAGATCTGGGTAAGGAGAGATGAGTGGGTACTCTATGATATAGGGCATCTGGGTGACGCAGAGGAGTGGGCACTCCAGGATATATGAATCTGGGTGAAGAGGGAGGAGTGGGCACTCCTTGATGTAAGGGATCTGGGTGAAGAGAGAGGAGTGGGCACTCCAGTAGACACAGCGGCTGAGTAAAGTGGTGGAACAGGAGAAGAGAGCACTGGATGAAGGAGGGGCTGGGTGAATTGGAGGAGGAGGGAGCCAATGAGCGTCTGGGAGAGCCATTTGATGCCAGGCTGTGGCTGCTGCAGGCAGTGAGGGACAGAGCCGCCGAGGACAGGCTCCTACACCCGGCCAGCGCTCTCCTCCTCACCCGCCCGGAGGGGGGGCTCCTGCAGGCGATGTGCCCGCATCAGCGCCGGGCTCCGGGCATCCCCGGCTTGCACCCAGGCGTGTGAAACAGATGGAGGTACCGGGGTCGGCATGGGAATGATGAGCTGCCCCGGGGTCAGCGTCTTGCTGTTTTCCCTCCTGCACCTGGCTCTAGGTAAGTGGCCACCTCCATAGATCCGCTAGTTTTACTTGTTATTAACTCCTTACTGTGCTATGGATTCCGCATTCATTCCTCTGAATAACTCGCCGTGCCAGCCATAAATCTTCATCTGCCCTATAATGCCCGCCAGTGCCATCCTCTGCCTGTCATGTATGTCCTCTGTGTGTGTGTGTGTGTGTCATCCTCGGACTCTGCACAGCGCTCAGACTTTCCCATGCTGTGGACGCTCTGTGTTCTTTTTTACATGTTACAATGTATCTCTGATAGAACGATCAGCATCCTGTCCGTGTCACATCCTCCTCTCTGCTCTCATCCCCCAGTCTCAGCACCACATTCTATCATCTACTTGTGTGATTTTACTGAAGATTCTCCCAGATGTCAGGATTCGCACGTTCTCTGTGTCATTCGGCTTCCTTCTCTCTCTCTCTAAATCTCTCTCTCTCTCTCTAAATCTCTCTCTCCCTCTCCCAGTTTCTGAGGATCAGTGTAAAGACGAACCGACAATTCCTAATGACCGATCCCATGCCAGGTTCCTGTGCCATGTATAGAGGGCACGTTGTGGGTATATATCACCGCTGGTGCCCGGTGCTGTATTATTCTCAGTACAGACATTGGAGTCGTTGTGTTATGGACTCCTAATCCCAAATATTCAGCTTTTCACTATCTGATCCAACACCATGCACTGTGAGAGTGGGATGTGCTCTGTGCACAGGATTGTATAGATAAACTAGGATAGTGTGTGCAAATTCTGTCTGTGTGTGTGTGTGTGTGTGTGTGTGTATATATATGTAGTACTCTGACCTGTAAAAGGTTGCCTATTGCTGTGACAATGTATAGTTTTCCAAAACCAGTATTCTGTCTCTTTTTTAATAGTCCTAGGCTTTATTTATTATAACTCTTAAATGTGTAACTTTAACCTTTTTGGCACCCTTTAATGCCCAGGTATGTTTTAGATGCAGTTTTGACATGTTGGTACACACGCTGTGAATGACTCCTTTTCATCTAAAACCAGATTTGGCAAATGCCAATCAATTCATAAAACATACAGCAGGCTGGACAGGGTTGCAGTCGCACGTCAATGCAGCACACTGGTGTGAACACAGCTAGATTAAATAATTAAATGTTTTATATAAGTACATGCATTTGTTTATTTCATGCTTTACATGCAGCGCTCCTAGTTTGAATGAGCCCCACTTGGAGTATTAATCGGCTGTCATGCTAATGTAGTTTTGAAGACTCTGCTAGGATGTAGCACGCATTGTAGGGTTGTGTTACTGCCTCATAATATGGGAATGTGGAAAGTATCCGTGAATGGGTTGTAATTCTCTTGTACTGTCTCTGTTATGATATTGGAATTTATAGCATGGACCCCCATGGGTGAGGGATAGGAATCCTCTGTCTGCTAACACAGTCATGCCATACTTGATTGTTCCCACCAAGACTTATTTTGATGTTTGCAGGTGCTCTCAGTGTCTGGATAATGAAATTATCCTCCATCTGTTACGAGACTAGTTTATAGAAAGCCTTCTTTCGCTAACATATTGTACTCACTGCATATATCACTGTGTATTTACCTCGATCCTGTCATGGTACTGCAATATACTTAATGTTTGGGGTATCAATCCCCCCCCCCCCCCATTATGTAGTAGTGCATTAGAATTTGTCTCCTATGATGTATGTGCAATGTGCTTGGGCAATATGCATTGCTGTTTGAGTCCTTCAACAGTATGCCGTGTTTATAGGTTCTTTCTTATGGTATGAAAGTGTACACATAGTCTCCACAACATGCATTGTGTCTATAGCTTCTTTTACAATGTGTAGTGTATAGACCGTGTGTATCATGATATGCAGCGTGCATACAGTCTATGGCTTGACAAGCAGAGGAGGATTTTTGATATGGCTTTAGTATGTACAGTTGGCTTGTGGTACCTTCTCTCACACTCCTATGTCAGTTTGCTTCTTGTGTGCTCATGACAGGTTGACTTTAAAGGAAATCTCCACCTTTACCCTCATTTTCACTGTCGGGATGTGCTGTGTGACAGTATATGCACTTCATGTAGCTGGAAGCTGTGCTTCTGTCATTCCCGCTCAGTTTCTGTCTCTGTCTTGCCCACTGTGAACAATTTCTTCTTTGTGGACTCCTCTCTCTCTCTCTGTCCTTCTCTCCCTGTACCAGATCACGTCTCTTCCTCTGCCATCTTCTATGTCTCCCTTATCCCCCCCTCCTAAACATTAATACAATTTTGGTTTGCTTTGTTTAATCCCTCCATTGCTCGTCTCCCAAATATCCCTTCTCTCTCTCTCTTCCTTGCTGTCAGTTCCTTCTAGATTTTCTACTGTCGTGGACATTGATGTGTGTACAGCACAGAAGTGTATGACCAGCAATACAGATGCTTGGCTAATACAGCAGCTTAAAAGCAGTGTGACATTATATCGCTGTGTCTTATCACAGTGTTTTAAAAGCAGGCAGCTACATAATGAATATTTCAAGGTTGAATATTGTGGTGGCTTATCTCAGCTGAGCTTTGCAGCGGTAGTACCTTTTTAGTGAGTTTTTATAAGATGTAGTTCTGAGATACAGTAAATTGATTTTTTTTTGTGTGTGAGTGTGCACTAGTCAGCGTATTGGAATCTACAGCACATTGTGTGTGGGAAGTGCACAGAGACCTGTTACTGTACCCTGAATGAGGGTTTATTTTAATGACCTTACCCAGGGCCCACGGTGGAAATATCTTTAAAAAAAAAAAAAAAGCCCTTAAAAGCTGAGCAAGAGTGAGTGACCAGATGAAGAATTCTTGTAGGGGGGTTTGTGACTGGTCGTGGGAGAGATTCTATAAATAGAACATAGAACACTGAGCTTGGTGTATGAAATTATTCTGAAGTAGATCTTTTCTATGCCTATAGGTATGGGGCCCTTTGTTATGCATACTTGCATACTTTGCATGGAACTAAGAAATCAGTTTGTATCAGATTGTTTGTTTTACTTTCTTTTGTTGATGTTTTCAATGTTTGCATTGGTTCAGTCAGATCAGCCTGTGTTTCCAAATAATTTTTGTCTGACAGCTGCAGACGTCAGTGTTCTAAAACTACCACTTCTAAAGCTGAACTCCATGGAAAGCAAATACTGTTCTCATAAGATCTATATGTATTCTTCCTTCAATCTCGGTGAGCTTTGTGTATTTCTTCCAGATCTGTGCAGTAACCTAGTTTGAGACTTGGAGCTTCCTGTAATAAAGACCGGTCACTGCTGCTCTCTCCTTGTGCAGGGTGAGTGGTCTTGTCTCGGCTCCCTCCTGTAATACAGATCAGGCACTGCTGCTCTCCTTGTGTAGGGTGATTGGTCTCTTTTAAAGACCACTCACTGCTGCTCTCTTTCCTTGTGCAGGGTGACTAGTCTTGTCTCTGCCCCCCTCCTGTAGTTTTCTACAGCCTGTAGTGGGTGGGGCCTGCCGAGCCCCTCCCACATTTCTTCTCTCTGCACAGGCTATCTACAGCACAGTGATGATATCACTGCTATGTTCACATGGCATTATTTGGGTTTGCCAAGGCATTTGGTGCATATTAATGGCTAGAAATATATAATAGTAGTATAATAGTAGTGGCTAGTAATATATTTAATGGAAGGTTTTTGTGCCTGGAGTTCATCTTTAGGTTACCTGCTACTGCTGAAGTTTTGGATGCTGGGAAGATAGGTTAGTAGCCACTTTTTAAAGCGAAAGTGCAATGACTGTATCCCTTGAACAATAAAAAGCACCTGCTGTGCCGGATATGGGGCCTTTCTGATCTAGCAAAGTTCTGACCATTCTTGTCAGTGTTGAAGATTCTCTGCTCCCTCGTGCCTCCTCCATTCATTCTTGTTTGCCCAGCACTATGGTTGACTGCCTTAATGGCCAATAGAAAAGTGCTGTAGGCAGAAGGGGTTGGGGGAAGTATCAATTCTGCTAGGAAATGGCAATGCTTTCACCAGTCGGAATAGCCTGGCATGCGCACTTCTATGTACCTTCTAACAAAGATTGCGAGCAAGCAGGTAAGTTTGAAAACCTAGCTACATAGTTACATAGTTGGTCAGGTTGAAAACAGACACATGTCCATCAAGTTCAACCCATAGAGGTATGAAAAAAGAAAAGTACTTCCCAGCTCACAACCTTTTCTGTTTAGTTACGCTTTAAATATGTTTCAGAGTCATTAACCCGAAACAATTATGTAGCCAGTGAAGTCATAACTCTTGCCTTGCTTGTTCTGGATCAGTGATGCCAAAAATATTGACCCATAGAGCATTAATATGGCACCCAGTTAACTAGAATTCTTTTAAGCAATGGGCAGCTTCCATGTTGTATGTTTATGACGGGTTTTCTTTAATATGTTTGTATATCTTCACATTTGAGGTAATTTTATATGGTCCACGTGTGAGGACACCATTTGTATTCTGATTCTCATGACCCTTTTCTCCTTCTACATTGTATACCTGCATGATATTACTGTCACATTATGGTCATCTTCAGTGTCCTCCTCAGCGTAGGTCATCTGTCTCACTGGAAAACATTTCCGGCTTTATTCAGCTGAAGCCAGCCTGCCAGCTTAATCAGGGGATTTATTACCGGCAAAATGGAACGTACTGGAGATGGAACATAGTTTTTATTATTATACAATGTATTTGATCAATGTTCAGCACGCAGGTTGTATTCACAATCCCGCAGTGTGCACTCAGCAGCTTTTGTACTTCTAGGTTTGCTTATATCAGAGATGTTTCCTCTTCTCTTCTGCCTGTTGGTGGCTCTCTTGGTATTGTTGTAAGTTTTGCAGCTGCTGTGTCACATGCATTTCCTATACACCGACTCTCATTTGTGCTGGGAAATGTATTTGTTGCAATGAGTGTGTTTTTTTTTTTTGTGTATAGCATACCAGAGGAGTCGGTGTATCCTGTCTTTTGTAACATAAGATGGATGGAAATGTGTAGCCACTTAAAAGCCGGCTTTGTTTATCTTTTCTGATTG